GCAGGCTTCAAGACATCTTCACCTCCCTCTGCTCACAGCAGCTGGTTTGGTGGGTAGTGAAGCACCACCAGTCCCCCCAGAGCAGCATCTCCCTGTGCCCAGTCCCTCCTGGGCAACTCGTGGAGCCATGTTTGGTGCTGTCCTAGAGCTGCCACTCCGGGAAGGAAGAACTGTAGCCTTAAACAGTGTGGGGAGGCACTCACCCAGCCCCTGGCACTGAGAGAAGTACAAGGCTCTCTCTCCCTGCAGCCCTGGCTGGCCGAGTTTGGTGGGGGGACCGCTGCAGAGTGTCATGAGAGCAGTCTGCCTGATGCACTGCCCCACGCAGTGACCTGCATGATCCCATCCTTGTCCCTTGCAGAGCCTCTAGCACCATCTGGTGTGAGTCTGTCCAGCCAGGGGAGCCCCTACAGCCTACTAGCCAGCTGGGAGGAGGCAATGGGAGAAGGCTATGTGCTGGCCTTCAGCCTCATGGAGCACCCCGTGAAGAACAGCTCGCTGCTCAGAGGTGTCACCAACTTCACCTACAACGGCCTCCGTCCTGGGACCCTCTACACCTTTGAGGTCAGCACGGTGGCTGGCCCCTACACATCCACACCCCGGCGCATCACCAACTGGACATGTGAGTGCCACAGCCCTCACCACAGCCAGCCCTGGGGTTCCCACTGGGTCTTGCACTTGCCCACAATGTCATGCTTCAGGGCATGTGGTAGCACAGGTCTTCTGCAGCTTCATGCAATAAAAGAGCAAAAGGCTCAGGAGGAAAGCAGAGGTGCTGCTGGATGTGACTGACCCTGGTCTGTATGCCAGTTGCCCAGCCCAAGGGTCAGCAGAGCCCAGTGCCCTTCTCCCCTGGGCCGCCCTCCTGTGGCACTGCTCAGGCTGCATCTGCCCTGAACCACCTCTCCACCACCCTGGTCCATCCCATCCCACCCACCACCTCCTCCAGCACCAGAGCAGTCCTCTCTTACCATGCCAGTTTCAACTCTGTGCTGGCCCAGTCCCTGCCAAACTGGTGTGTGGGTGTCAGCAGGGGTGATGGTGGCCTGCTCAGACCCTACGGGTGGCCAGAGCACCTGGATGTGGGTTTCCCCAGGGAAGGGGCTCCAGCCCCAGCACATCTGGGGTTGCACTTCTGCCAGGTGACCCCAGTCCGGGTGCAGCTGTGACTCTAGACCTTACCTTTCCTAGATCCTTTGCCCCCGGAGCAGCTGACCCTCAGCAACCAGGGCCACAGCACCTCTCTGCAAGCCTCCTGGAGAGCAGCTTCTGCTGGCAGCACTGGCTACACAGGCACCCTCTGGGAAACCAAGTCCCAGGCGTGGGTCAGAAACATGACTGTGGGGAACAACTGGACAAATGTCACCTTTGAGGACCTGGTCCCTGGGCGACAGTATACACTGGAGATGGCTGCTATGGCTGGACCTTACAGATCCCCTGTGCGATCAGCCAGAGACTGGACGTGTGAGTGTGTTACCCCTAGTGCAAGTTGCAACCATGGCCTGGCCAACGAGAGCAGAAAGCTCATGGCATGGAAGCAAGGCAGAGCGTGGACCATGTGTGGGGAGGGAGGGGAACCAGGGACAGGGATGCATAGACAGACAAAGAGTGGAAGGACAGCCAGAGCCACATTCAGCCAGGTTGGAATTAAAAGGGTGTTCAGTGCAGAAGAATCCCATCACTGAACGGAAAACGTTTCCAAATGTCACCCAGCAGGAAAGGTGGGGACCTGCTCCCATGTTTGTTGTGGAGCAGAAGCTCAGGCTATTCTGGGGTTTGATATGCCAGGGCTGATTTCTGACTTCAGCCCACCAGGGACAAGTGGTGGAGGGTGCCCAGGACAAGCGCGTGCAGGCCCCGAGTCCACACCGCGGCAGCTCCACCATGATTGCCTCTCACTGCCTGGATGTCTCTTCTTTCCCAGACCCCCTGGCTCCAGCCAGCGTGACCCTGACCAACACCCGACGCCCGCTGGGACTCTCTGCCTTCTGGGACAAGGCTGCTGGCGATGTGGACCAGTTCCACCTCCAGCTCTACAGCAAGAGCCATTCAGCACAGAGGAACATCTCAGTGGGGCCAAACACCCACAACTTCACATTCCTGGGGCTGTCCCCTGGCATTCAGTACTTCCTGAAGGTGACCGTCCTCGCTGGCCCATACAGATCCTCATCACACTTTGCCACTGAGTGGACATGTGAGTGAGAACTGTCCCCAGCCTCCTGCAGGGACGGGGCATGCTGGCACTGCCTGCAAGACTGGCAGTGACATGGACGTGTCCGGGCAGAGGGAGGGCTCCAGTGAGACCTGCATTCTCCCTGCCCCTGGGAATCTGAGCACATGTCATGAGTTAGGTGCTGTATGCCAGCTTCTGGGCCCCAAAAGACCCTTTTCCCCAGCTCAGGCTTTCCCCAGTCAAGCTGAACCTTCTGCCTAGACTACTCGTGATTTCAAGGCTAGCCTTGGTGGGAGAGGGATGCAAGAGGGGGAAGCACAGAGACCCATCTGGGCTTGCTGCTCCCTGTCCACGGAGCAGAGCAGCTTGCTGGGGAGCTGAGTGCTCTTTTCTTGGTACAGCACCTGCCTGCTAGCAGCGCCTTGGGGACATGCACGGGCAACTTGCATATCCCCCAGGACAACAGGACAGCTGGAAGTCAGCTGCCACCACTTCTCCTTTAGCCCTGTGTAGAGGTGCAGGCTGTGTCGTGGCTTCTCCAGTTGCTTTCTTCCATGATCTCATGGATGTCCATGCTGTGTTTCCCCCTAGATCCACTGTCTCTGGCTAATGTGAGTGTACAGCCTGGCCAGAGACCCCAGGAGCTACGTGTGACCTGGGTGGAGTCAGGCGGTGGCAGAGACCACTTGGTACAGCTCTCGGTGGCTGAGTCCCTCTCCATCATCAGGAATGTGTCTGTCCCCCGTGGAGTCACCCAGGTTGACCTGGAGGGGCTGGTGCCAGGGTCCCGATACCGCGTGGAGATCATTTCCCAGGCTGGGCCTCATCGCATCTCCTCTCAGACTGCAATCGGCTACACTGGTAAGAATGCAGCTCCTCTGCACCCATCTCTGGTACCAGCATGACTCTGACCTGGCGAGGGGCTGGGGACCAAGGCGGGGTCCCAGGGCTGTTCTGCAGGAGGGCCCTGAGACCATGTCCCTGCAACACCACTGATGCCTGTCTGCTACTCAAGATGCTGGGTCTCTTGTTGGGACCCTCACTCACCCTGAGCCCAGCAGCTCAATGGGGCATGCTGTGAGCCTGCCCCAGCACTTTGGGACAAGGGGTTCTCAGGCCGTGGTGGTGATACACCATTATCACCTGGGACACAGGGAGCAGCTTTGATCTGGGAGCAACTCGCTGCTTTCAGAGTCTTTAGACAGCATGTGAGGTGCTCACAGTCCTACAGCTCCTACCTTCATTCCCAAACTAGACTCAGTCTTGAGCATCCCAGGTTTGTCCCCTGTAACGCTGTTTCTCTCCCACAGTCCCATTACCTCCTCTTTCCCTGTCGGCAAGCCCTGTCAGCTCTGCCTGGGCGCTGGCTGTGCGCTGGGAGACCCCTCCTGGGCAGAGGGATGGATACCTGCTCAGCATGCACGAGGAGGGCTCTTCTGCACCAGCAAGGACCCTGGAAGCAGGGAAGGACAGCACCAATGTCACCCTGACACGGCTGGCACCAGGAACTTGCTACCTTGTTGGGATGTGGGCGATAGCTGGACCCTACCGCTCCCTCCCCAAGAACGTCACCGGCTGCACAGGTGAGCATCCATACCACCCATAGGTGATTTGGGTGGGAGCACTGCGAGGAGCTCCAGAATGGGATGGGGATCAATGTTGGCACCCAGGGAGAGGAGGGCACCCTGGCCTGGTTCCCGGTGATGCTGGCCTGCAGTAATCTCCTGCCTCTTGCAGCCTTCTTGTACCACGTGGGCACAGAACGCTTTCTGGCCGATTGCTGCTGGCTGCCTGGGGAAAGCAGGACTCTTCCCCGGAGACAGCTGCATGTTCGGAACTGGATCTTTTTCTCTCCAACTCATGTGTCTGTTTTTCCTCGCAGTTCCTGCTGCACCGACAAACCTGAGCCTTACCAATCCAGGCAGCTCCTCGGAGCTTTACACGTGCTGGAACAAGCCCCCCGGCAGGAGGGACCACTACCGTGTTATTCTGTATAGCCTTAGCACCCAGAGCAGGGATCGGGTCCAGACCTTGAGTCCAGATGCTCAGAACATCACCTGGACTCACTTGGAGTCAGGCAGCAGGTTTGCTGTGCAGGTCACTGCTGTGAAAGGCTTGTTTGAAGCCTCCTCCATCAACGTCACCCAATGGACACGTGAGTCTGATGGGCTGGGTTGGACATAAGCACTCCACTGTGCCCCTGAGCCTCTGAGTCTTGTAGAGCACCCACCACTACCTTCCCCATCCCAAACCATCCCCGCTGTGCCCCTAGCTTCTACACAGTTGTCCCACCTTTCTGCTCACTGTCTTCACTCCTTCCCCGACACAGAGCAAATCCCCCCTACCTACCTCAAAGGCTCTGGTTATCTCCCCTGCAATGTCCAGCTGCAAGGCCTGAGGATATTGCACTCAGAGCCATGCACACTGTCTGTCCATTTGTCCCCATGCTTCTCTCTGGGAGGATCTCTGGTGGCCAGCCTGCCCACCGCCCAGTGGGAGCTGCGGGGCTGGAGTCCAGCCCGTGGTGCTGCCAGAGCACGAGGAACCAGTGGGCTCGTGCTGAGCACTGAGCAGCAAGCGGTGGCACGCAGGGGCTGACTGTCTCCCTGTTGCTTTCCAGATCCCTTGGCCCCTGCTAACCTCACCCTGGGCAGCCCCTCTGCCTCCGCGCTGCAGGTCTCCTGGGCAGCAACAGGGCGAGGAGCAGAAGGCTACGTGGTGGATGTCTATGACACAGTGTCCAGCGGTCGTGTTGGGCGCATGGTGCTGGGTGGGGATGCCAGGAGTCACACCTTCAGGAACCTGAGCCCCGGCACCCGCTACAGCGTGGCAGTGAGGGCCACAGCTGGGCCCTTCCACACCAGCACTCCCAACCTCACCCACTGCACACGTGAGTATGATGCTCTCCCTGCAGCCAGGTGTCCTCCACCAGATCTCCCCTTTCCTTGTTCAAATCAGAGGCCATACTGGTGCAGCGCGATCCTGCCTTCCTCTCCCACCTATGCAAGCACCCAGTGCTCATGCCCTGCTGGATGCAGCATGGGGAGTCTGTGCATGACCCCATGGCCTGGCCACCCATGTCCCAGGTAGCTGTGCACAGCCATCCACAGCACCAGGGAAGAGGCAATCCCTGGAGGCAGCTGCCACAGAGTCAAGGACAAAGCCAGCCCTCGGGACCTTGCAGGGCTGACCCACCTCCTGCAGCACAGGCTTGGCACAGACAAGGAGCATCTCCTTTCCCTCAGCCTGAACGTGGCTCCTGGCAGTGACTTGTGTTTCCTCCCCAGGCCCGCTGCCCCCAGCCACCGTTCACTGGCTGAGCATGGGGCACCCTGACAGATTGAGCGCATCCTGGGGAGACGCAGCTGGAGATCGAGACGGCTACACACTGACCCTATACCACGCGTGACAGCCGCACTCAGGAGAGACACCCACAACTTCACCTTCATGGGTCTGACCCCAGGATACGAGTACTCTCTGGAGGCCAGTGCCACGGCTGGACCATACCAGGCAACAGCACCCAACATCAGTGGCTGGACACGTGAGTGCCCAGAGGAGTGTCCTCTGCAGAGGGGTGGAGATGTTGCAACACTGGGCGGCCCTAAGGAGGGCTGGGAGGTTTGCAGGGGTCCTGGTGCCTTTGGAGACGTGCACGCGCATGTGCATAGGTGCAACACGCAGCAGTTAGTGCATGGGCACACTGTTACCCTCATGGGCACATAGATGTTCAACTGTAGACTTGCACAAGTACATGCTGATGACATGCAGGGTTACCCAGCTGTGCCCATGCAGGGACATCCCTCTGCCTGTGCAGCCCCATCTCCCTGTATACAGGAGCACTCGCACCCTTGCTGAGTCTCCTCCAGCAGGTAGAAATTACATTACCATAAAGGTCCATGAATCCGTGTAGTAGAAGAGGCTAATCCACAGTCTTCCCAGGAGAACAGGTCTTTGCTAGTCCAACACTTCTCCCCACCCAGAAAGGTTTTAGGGCTGGACAGAGTGTAGACGCTGTGCCAGCTCTGCCCAGGCAGCTGCATGCCAGCTGGGTGCTGGAGGATGTGTGCACGCAGCGGTGGCAAAGGCGCTCCAGCTGGGCTATAGGGATGAGGGTAACCTGGATGAAGAAGGGTTGGCATGTGAGGGACCACAGAGGGTGAGCAGCATTAAAGGTGAGATGGGATGGGGGCAGAAAAGAGAAAAGTGAGGAGGAGTGTGCCAGAAGGGGCCTTCGTGTCCCAGCCCTCAGGGAGCATCTGTTCTGCTGCACAATGTCCCGTCAAGTGTGTTTCCTTCTGCAAGTCTCCAGTCCCTAACATCAGGTCTGGTGATTCCCCAGGCCCGCTGCCCCCGGTCACAGTGCACTTGCTGAGCACAGGGCACCCCGACAGGCTGAGCGCGTCCTGGGGAGCAGCGGACGGGGGGCGAGACGGCTACACGCTGACCCTGTATCACGCGCGGCTGGGCACCGTGGCAGCTACAACCTCGCTTGGGAGAGACACCCACAACTTCACCTTCACGGGACTGGACCCAGGAAGCAAGTATGTGCTGGAAGTGATGTCCATGGCAGGATCCTACCGGACACCTGCAGGGAACGTCAGCAACTGGACGTGTGAGTACCCTGTTTTGAGGGTGATGCGTGCCTTGTTGGGCAGTCACAAAGGCTCATGGCAAAGGACACGGCACTGCTGACCTTCATGGCAGACCCCAAAGCCTGCCTGAACCCAAGAGCATGTCAGTACCATGGCACTAAGCAGGGCTCTGCCCACCCACACCATCAGCTCCACCAGCCTGGATTAGACGAGCTGCAGCTCTGGGCGCTGTGCTTCAGAGGAGAGGCACGGAGGAGGGAGCAGTGGACAGGGGCATTCACCTTCCCCTCCCCTCCAGCCGGCTGGGTGCTCCCTCCTCTCCCATCCCTGGGTGTCTTGCTCCAGCTGGGACAGGGCTGTCTCTGCTCAGACAAGTACCACTTGAAGCTTGCAGTAGCTGTTTTTCGCTGCCTCCAGGCTGGTGGATGCAGCCATCCAGCCGAGCCAAAGTGCCCTGTCCTGTATGGTGCATCCCTTCTGATGACACTGCCAAGGTACCCAGGCAGTGTCTTCAGATCCTTCACTGACAACGTCTCCTATCCTGTCTCTCCAGACCCCCTGGCACCCCGTAACGTGTACATGACGAACCAGGGGTATCCCAACAGGCTGAGCGCGTCCTGGCGAGCTGAACCCCAAGGGCAAGACAGTTACAGGCTCCTCCTGTATCACTCGGGATCAGGTATTGTGGCAGCCAATGTATCTGTTGGGAAAGGCATCAGCAAATTCACCTTTTCTGGCCTGGCTCCAGGACACAAATACCTGCTGGAAGTGGTGTCCATGGCAGGGCCCTACGCAGCCTCCGCGGGGAACATCAGTGACTGGACAAGTAAGTGGCAAGAGCTGGAGGTCCTTACATCATGCGTGAGGCTCAGCCTTCCCCAGGCGGGTGGGAAGGGAGAGGGACGGGGCTGGGACTGCTGCCTGGAGGCTGTAGGTAGCAATGGGATCATGGGCTGTGCAAGCCCCAGTGGAGGGAAGAGCAGGGCAGTGCTGCTGCCCACAGGACAGCCTGGCAGCCGTGGTTGCTGTTTCAGGAGGCAGACGTCCAGCTCGTGGCCCCACTGTTCACACAGGCTGGCTCCTCCGGGCATGAGTGACTGAACAGGAGCAAGAGATCCCAGAGTGCTGCTCTGGTAGAGGACACCCACATCCTGGGAGACCACGGGGCCTTACAGCCAGGGGGGGACACCCCACCGTCCCTGCTGCCTTTCTCCCAGGCACTCAGAAAATTCCTGGCATGGGGGATAAGGGGAGGCTGGGCTTTTTTTTTTTTTTTAAAGGAATGTGGAAATTGCAGATAAGCACAATAAGCCTTTTCATGTGCTTGTCCCCACAGTCCCAGCACTTTGTTTGGGGAATCCAGAGGTCTCTGCTCTCACGCTCAGCCAGCCCCTGGCAGAGTGCTGGGAGTCACGTGCAGAGCCCTTCAGGCAGGTCTCTAATGAAACTTGCTAAATAACAGGAGGAAGAACCCATCTCCTCATGTTCCTCACTCTGCATGTCCTCCAATTGCCGTTTAAAGGTCATTTCTGGTAGTGGCAGCCAGCAGCTGCAGAAACGTTATCACTGAACATGTGAAATTTCCTTGCATATTACCCATCTTCTGCTTGTATCTCTACGGGATGGAAGAGAGTACATGTATGCCTGTAACTCTCCCCTGGTGTGGTTTTCATTGTAGCCCCCTCAGTTCCCAGAAATCTCTCTGCGGTGGCTGAAGGGAACAACACGATGCTCATCTCCTGGGGCAGTGTCTCTGGACAGCAGGACGACTGCCAGCTGTGGCTGCGGGATCACAGGAACAGCACGCTGCCCTGGCGGCATGCTCTCGGCAGAGGGCAAGTCCAGCACCTCCTCCAGGGCCTCATACCTGGGAGGAACTATTCTGTCTCCTTGAGCTGCGTGGCCGGGCCCTACTGGAGCAGCACAAAGCCCTTGGCAGTGCCGATGGGTGGGTATGCGCTGCGGGGGGGATGGGTGGAGTGCAGGCTGGAAGGGGGAGAAATGCCTGGGTGGCCTCAAGACTCGATCAGCCCTTGGGGGTCAACGGAAGCATGGGAAGTCTTCATGGTGGGAGAAAAGGAAAACCAGCAAGGTGACCCTCTGGTAGCCATCAGCTCCTTAAGCTAGCCCCATCACAGAGGTTTCCCATCACCTCATGGCCTGGCTACCTGTGAAGCAAAGTGGACTCTGCAGAAATCTCCATTGGTCTGCTTCTCCTATAAGACATCTGCTCAGGCCATGACCCGTTTGCCTTGTCCTGTGGCCCTTGGCACAGAAGGCTCCCAGGTCACAGATATCCAGCTCTGCTTCTCTCCCACTGACCTAAGGACAGGCAGTAGAGGACCATAGTGGCTCTGGGCTGACGCATGGGCTGAGGTTGGGATTTCTTTGATCCAGTAAGTACAGACCCTGCCATATCTCCTTTGCAGAGCCAAACCCGGTGGAGGATGTGCAATGCCTACCGGAGTCAAGGAGCCTTTACTTGAACTGGACCAGCTCTCCTGGAGATGTGGAGGCTTATGAGGTGGTGACAGAGAGAGTCTCTGATGGACCTCCCACCTCCAAGTATGTCATGAGCATCCCTACGAGCGAGGCCAGTCTGGAGGGGCTGGGGCCAAACTCGTCGTACCGAATTGTTGTGAGCACAGTGGGCATGAACACAATGAGGAGCCAGGCTGTGACTCTGCTCTGCAACACAACAGTGGAGGGTGAGTCCCCTTCTTTCCCACAGTCTTGCCACAGACGCCAGGAGAAGACACCCAGTGTTGCTAATTAGACCTGGGGACTCTTTCAGATGCCTGTGAGCCCCTTGTGGTCCTGCACTGAACTGCAGTGGGTCCAGGGCTCTGGGCAGTGATGCTGGGACCACTCACAGGCTGAGCAATCTGGGGTGGGTCTGTGGGAGCAGGGACACACTAACAGGCTGTGCTTGCTGGTTCCTCTTCCAGCCCTGCCTCCACCCCTGCGAGCAGATATCTTCCAGGTGGAGGCCAGCTCCACGGTTATCATTTCATCCGACCTGTTCAGCGAGGAGAACGGCCAGATCAAATATTACGGTGTCATTGCTACCACTAATGATTCACGTAAGTGCCCCTGCACATCCCGATCTGCAGTGGCTCCCTGGAGGGCAGCAGGTCACTTTGGGACTACCACTGTCACTTTGTACATTCCCCTTCAGTGCTGAGGCCCACCCAGGAAATCATGTCCAGCACATGGTATGACCACTATTATGGGACAGAGGACTCCTACCTGGCTGTGCTAATCCCCAATCCCTTCCATCCGAGCCCCAGGAGCTCCCCCGAAACCTGGCCAGTGCCAGTGGGAACCGAGGAGTGTGGCCAGTCCAGGACAACGTGCAATGGGAAGCTGAAGGCCAACGAACAGTACAGGTGAGAGACGTCAGCATCCCTCCTGAGGGGAAGGGGCTGGAGAGAAAAGGGACTGCACATATCCCTGCAAGTTGCCACCAGCTGCCTGGATGTCACCTCACCCTCGTACTCCCCAGACCCCCAGCAGTGGACCCCAGGGGTTGCTCCACCAAGCAGCGTTTGAGGGATGCAAGGGCTGGCATACTGGAGAGTGTTAGGCAGTGTAAGTGGGCAGGAAAGCAGAAGTGAAACTGAGGCTGACAGGGCTGTATGTATTACCTTGGGAGCTGGGCAGTTGTCCACCTCCAGTGTAAAAACTAAAATGGATGCTGTTATTTGTAGGGCTTTTACATGTGACTCAGAGCCACATGCAGACTCAGAGAGTGCAAAAATGAAACTGATTCAGAAACATTCAAGTTCAAGTGGTGCCCACACAATTGGGGGCTCAAAGGTTAAGGGTAGCAAACGCACAGGCTAAGATCCAAGTTCCCCACGAGACACACACACAGATTACAATATTCATAAATTCAGAGTCTTATTTGACAGTAAGTAGAATCCAGGAACATGAATGTACAAGCATACATATTTTGTTATAGGGTAGCTTTAAAATAGTTGATGGTAAAACAGTTTTTCTACTACAGACAACGAATCATATCTTTAGTCAGTCCTCTGTTAATTTAGCAGCTCACAATTTCATCAAACAGGGACCATATCCCCAGGCATTCCTCTGAGAAAGGAATCCCCCAGAATCTGGAAGGTTGTCCCATTTCAGTTTAAAGAAACTTACAGCAAGGGTGGCTGACTAGTGATAGAAGTCACTGAGAGTGTTGGGAAAAGAGAAAGAAAGACTGTGAGAGAGTGTCCATGAAAGCAAGCTTCACTTTCCCCTATGAGTAAAGTGAAAATTAGATCTGCCCTTAAGTTTTGTGGTGAGTGGAGTTAAGGTCCCTGGTGTTGGGTTTGGACCTGCTGGCTCTCCTTCCTTTCTTCGTTTCTGCTTCGCTCTCTCTATTTTTGCTATGTGCAGACTCCGCGCTTACGTGAAAAACTTACATTGATTCTTATGGAGTCATTTTAGATTTACACATGTTGCCATACAGGGGCTCTTAATTCAAGCTGCTGTTTGGGGCAGCACTGGCAGAGAACAGAGATTGGTGTTAACACTGGGCTGCATCAGGGGAGTGGGAGATGGGTCCTTCTCCTGGGAAAAAAAGGTAGTGTCCAGAGAGCCATTCCCTTGGAAATCCCACACAGAGCAGGATCATCAAGAGCAAACAGCTCTTCTGGCTCTCCCTAGGTACTGTATTATCATGCCTGGCAGGAGAATTGCGTGATGATGCATTCCCATCCCATGCCCAACACAGGTGTTCTGACCCCTGGGCTGTCACGGGAGTCTCCAATTGATTCCAAAGGTTGGAGATTGCCCATCAAGCCCACCTATTCTTTACTGCTAACGGCTCCTGCCCGACTCACCCTCAGGCATGGCAGGGCAAGCCTTACTGCTTAACCCTAGCAGCTTCAGATCTGGCCTTCTGCTCCAGCCATCACGGCTGAGACAGGGGACAGCCTGGGGTGCAAGCTGGGTCCGTGTTACAACGCGTTGGCTTAGACCAAGATCTGCCTGACCCATCTGTCGAGGCCAGCAGCCTCGAGAGGAGTTTAACAACAGCACAAACACACTGGGGTGCCCCTCCACCTCCCAAATACTGTCCAGCCAGTCTGAGGGTGTATATCTGCCTTCCTTGCTTCCCAGCTGCCCTTTTCACTCCAACATCGACCTCCCACAGGGTAGCAGCTAATTCAGAGCCATCAGGGTGTCATTAGCCCACGTACTGTGATTGAATAACATGTACTTAACTGTCCAATTACTCAGGACTAAAAGATCCTTTTGCACCTCTTCACAGCTCGCTTTCATTTTGGCTGCCCTAAACAACGTGTATCCTCAGTAAACTCTGCTGCTTTCCTAGTTAATCATTAGTAGTGCGGTGAAAAACAGATACCTCTGACAGCCCATCTCCACTCTGAAAGCCAGCCCTTGTTTCCCATCTTTCAGCGAGTTATTCATCCACAAGCCCTTATCTCTCATGCCATGGCCTGCCATCTGCAGGTTCAGTTTCCAAAGAGGTCTTTTCTCTGGCAGCTGGGTCCGGGGTGCTGCCAGAAAGGACTCACACTGGGCTCCACAAACTCTTGGCTGCTAAAATCCGAAGCTATGATTGAAAGCCTTAGCTTGCATTTAGGGCACAAGAAGACCTACCCTTCCAGGTTACCTGCTCCTAAGGAAGTCAGCTCTGCAGGGAGCTGTGACACTTGATGTGCACGCTTCTGGGAGGAGGAGGATGTAGGGCAGATCTCCACAGGGAAGAGGATGCCCGAGCCACTTTGTGCACGGGGAAGGAGGGAGCTGTGACACTTGATGTGCACGCTTCTGGGAGGAGGAGGATGTAGGGCAGATCTCCACAGGGAAGAGGATGCCCGAGCCACTTCTGTGTGCAGGGGGAAGGATACGGGTCAGGGCTCAGCCCTTGCAGCTGAGGTGCCCCTGTTTCAAACAGTCACCTGGGCTCAGCTCTTTCAAGTCAACCCAATTAATGGGTTGACATGAACTGAGACAGTGACTCAACACAACTTGATTTTCCCTACTTACTGTTGTATTTCCCTATTTCTGTCCAAGAGGCAGAAAAAGGAGAAAAGACCATTCCTTAAATCCCTACCAGAAAACCAGTTTCTTCCAATACAATATTTCAAACCAGAGGCAGCTGCCATGTTCCCTTGGGTATTCCTGGTGCTGGCTGCATGGGGGCTGTGCTCAGTTCAGATTGCCCCTGACGGCAGGACTCTGCTTTGCTCTAGGTTCAGCATCGCTGCCTTCACCAAATACGACCCAGTAGCCCCTGCAGTGACGTTCACCATGTTCTCAGGTACGATGGAGAATGCCATCTTCCCTACCTGGCAGTGCAGGTTAGAGATAATTAACAACCTGACAATGGCAAGCCAGAGGGAGAGCAAATATAATAAATGGAGTAAATGCAGCCATTTACTGACTTTTACTTCTGTCTGTTCTATCTCTTTGATTCCAGCTGCTGGATCCAGTGCAGACACAACTCCACTCTCAATGCCAATAATCACTGGAATTGTCGTGGGATTTCTCTTGACACTTGCAGCTATTTTCGCTTTGGTCTACTGGAAACAGCTCAGAGCAAAGAGGTGAGGATAAGCCACCTCTTGCCTGGTGGGTGCAGACTGAGAAACCCAACCTTCAGTGCCAGGCCAGGAGGAAGAGCAGAGAGGGTATAAAATGAGATTTAGGCAAACTAGGACACCCGCTAGTGGAGTTGTGCCTGGCAAGCACAGAAGCAAAAGGCAGAGGGGAGAGGGGAGCTGCCCGGGTGCAATCAATTCACAGAACCCTACACATGTGCAAGGCAGTGTGCCTGATGTGAGCTGTCTGCTCACAAGTGCTCCGTGAGCCAGTGGAACACAATACGCTCACAGCATCTGTCCCTGCACTGCAGGGAAGAGTAACATCTCCCATGCTTTGATTCTAGAACCAAGAAGAGCAGCCTGCCCCAGGAAATGGTGACCTACAGCTTGAGGTGAGTGCTGGAGTCTTCCCTCTCTGCGTGTCCCCAATGCAGGTCCCTGAGCCCTTCACCTACTTCCTTTCTCATGCTTTGACTCAGGAAAAATCCAACTCTGTCTCCTCTCCTTCAGTTATTTTTTACATCTTAGGCTTTTCCATGTTCAGTATTTATTGCCCAGCTCCATTCCAAGTCAATGGAAGTGGAAATGCATTGTCCACACCTCCTCTGCAAGGCTTCTGCAGTAGGGGAATATCCTCATCATCCTGAAATCCCTCCCAATATTTAAACAATGCTCTGTTGGCCCCACTTCCCTGGGCAATGACGTGGGCTATAAACCATCCCTGTGTGTGTGCATCCAGGTACTGCAGGTCTCAAGGCTGGGCTGTCTCATTGGCCACCTGACTGGCCTGCCAGACCTCCCAATAGCTAAGGCAAGTTTTCCTCTGGACTTCATTTCATGCAGAAACGTCCATCGGCCAATCCCCATACAGAACTTCAAGCAGTACTATGAGATGAAGACAGCAAGTGCTAACCACGCTTTTTTCCAGGAGTTTGAGGTGAGATGAGACTCCTGCTAGAGACTCCCCCCTAGGTAGCTCATGCCCTAGCTGTTGGGTGGCCTGTATGGACTCCTCATCTCCAGGGACAGTAACCCATCTCTCTAGCAATCCAACCACCCTACTAGGCAATCTTGGAGGCTAAAGACTGGATGGACCGAGTGATCAGGCAATTCCTTTACTCAAAACCTATTTTGTCAAGTTCTGGTAGAAATATGTGTTGTCTGTGGCGTGAGGTGAACTAGCACTGTCCATAGCTGCTGGTGGACAAAGCTAAGGGCCCCAGGCCTGGACTGGAGGCAAAGATGCTGAGTGGTGTTGCAATGAGATCCACCTTGACAGTGTTAGAAAAGAGCATGCAGCCAAAAGGAAGGTCAAGGAGCACTCTCAGAGCTATAGGGCCAGGCTGTGAAATTCACCTGGCTAGCTTCACTGGCTCCCACTGCCAACATCTGCAGACTCTGAATTGTTCTGCTACCAGCACCTTTGAAAGTCCCACCAGTGATTTCAAGCCCTCCTCACATCACCCTTCACTGGCCTTCTGAGTGAGGACAGAGGCAGAAGCAGCACAAGATGTTTCTGTTTTCTCAGCACAAAATGCTCTGAGCTTCTTGGTAGACTCCTGATTTCTGAGAAGATTTTTTTTCCCCAGTACTTGTTCTTGGGCTTGTTTTCTTTTAAATATAAACAGTGCTGTTGGAAAAGGCACTGAGAAAAGCCACCTATGGCTCAGAGTACACAGGCTATCCTGAGGGAGTAGAGAAGTTCCTCATACGTAGGTGACCCTCTTGAACCACTAGACACAGCCGTTGGCCGTGGGCAGGAAGCTGGGCTGGCCAGGAGCTCTCCAGAGAGACACTTGTGCTTATCCTCTCCCTTGTCCTACAGGAGCTGAAGGAAGTTGGGAAGGAGCAGCCGAAGGTGGAGGCCGAGCTACCAGCCAACATCTCCAAGAACAGATATCCCCACGTGCTTCCCTGTAAGTGCTGTCTCCTCCCTCCTCCCCCCATCATCCGAGGTGGGAGTTCACACTGCAATGGACAGGGATGGGCTCACCCTGCATTGCTGCAGGGTTCACAGTGCCTGGTTCCTCTCCTGGGAAAAGGAGTCTTGCAAGGGACCTCAGTTTCCCGTTTCCTGCTGGAGACCCAAGGCTTAAGGGTTGAGCCAGGGCTGAGCCACCAACCCCCTCAGCTCCTCCAGGAGCCCCCTACCAGGGGCAGGTAGTGGATAAGCCCAGCTCAGGGATGGGACCCAGCTGGAGACCAAAGTGGGACCGTGAGTGTCCCATGGTTTCTCTGATGAGCCTCATGATACCAGCTCTGCTTTCTTACCCCCCTGCTAACCCAGTTGGCAAGCAATGCTCACCTCTCCAGGGAGAAGGTGCCTGGGCAAGCACAGAGCCTCACTGCTGGCTGCATACATGGAGCTAGCGGAGCTGCTGAGGCTTTTTCCAATGTGTTACCCAGGTGAAGAGGAGATGGCTATGTCTTGGTGAAGGGCTGCCTTGGGGGGTCACACGTGTGTATGGGTCTCTTTCAGACGATCACTCTCGGGTCAAGCTGAGCCAAATGGGGGAGGATCCACACTCAGACTACATCAATGCCAACTTCATGCCTGTGAGATCCCACTTGCCTTCCCCACAGAGACATGGCCATGGGGCACCGTCAGAGAAATTCTGCCTGGATTGAGGTTGTGAGGGCTGGTGGGCAAGAGCTGCCACTGAAGCCACAGCTGGCACAGACTGGCAAGGAGTTGGGGGTCAGGCGGAGATGCATTTTTTCCCTTTAGCAGGGGTTGATGGAGATCGTCAGATGGCAAGTGCTGTGAATGCAGAGGTGTGAGTGTGGGGAGACTGGCAAGGCTTTCTGCTTTCTTCTTGAGGACTATCCTCTTCCCATCCTCTCACAGCTTACTGCCCCATCTGTCTGTCTGCTCTTTCTCCTTCTGGTCTGTGCAGCTGCATTTGAACAACCCCGGAGCTGTTCCCACATCCCCCATCTGGGAGATTTTCCCAGGTAACAGACAGGGCACACAGCATGCATATGTGGTTGTGTGGATCCGCGGGGCATGCATGTGTTAAAGGGGTAAAGGCAAAGAAGCAGCTTGAGACCTTGCATGTTCGCCTTACCTTCAGCAATGACTGGGGAGCACAAGAAAGACCCAGATCTGTCTTTTCCTTATTAGGCAGAATGAGGAACTGATTGGAGGGAAAACGGCAGGGATCACGTCTTTATTCCAAATACGTAGAGAGCACGTGTTGGGCACCACGTGCTTCCTGTGAAATCAGCTGCTTCTTAGATCAGGTGCCTGGGAACTGTGCCAGCCTGGGCTAAGGGCAATGGGCATTTCTCCCTCTACTGCAAAAGCAGACCAGGCACTGACTCTGTCCCAGGGCAGGATCCACCTGCCTCTGCAACTTGCCAACTCCTCCTGTCTGCCTCTTGCTCAGGGCTATACATCCCAGCAAGAGTTCATTGCCACCCAGGGGCCCCTGAAGAAAACGATAGAGGACTTCTGGAGACTGGTGTGGGAGCAGAACGTCTGCAACATCATCATGCTGACAGTGTGCATGGAGAACGGACGGGTAGGTTGGCACCACTGGGCTTCCACGTGCCAGCCCCAGACAAGCCAAGACCTGGTCGTGTGAGCTGAGCCCGGGCTGGGTTTGTGCCCTCCACCAACCCCTGCTCAGATGTGGCTCCAGGGTGAGCATGGGCCACACAGCTTCCCCAACAGGCAGTTTGAGGGGAACAGAGGCTGATGTGTGCAGCTTGGCATTAGCTTGGGGTACGAAGGGGCAGAAGTGGAGCTTAGCTGGAACCATGCCCATCACCCTCAGATATGTCTGCAGTGTCTGAAATTACCACTTGCCTCTGGATGAGACACCTCACATGGACTGTTCCTCTAGTCTCCAGGGATGATGAAACCCACCCAGGTCCTTTTCTCAGGAGGAGGCTGAGATCCAAACAAAGGGGAGGTGGGGGAGTGCCGTGCAAAGCTTCTGGTGGGAAGAGGAAGTACCCCTGCCTGCTCCCCAAGACCTGCCCTGGCTCCCCGCACAGCTGCTGCTTTCCAGATGTTCCCAGGGAGCTGGGAGGTGACCTAGTGGGACCTGGGCCCTCACTGGCCTCACTAGGACCCCATCTTGCCTGTGCTCTAGGTCCTCTGTGATCATTACTGGCCATCCGAATCTGCCCCGGTCTCCTACGGGCAGGTCCAGGTCCACCTGCTGACGCAGAGCAGCTCCGAGGAGTGGACCATGCGCGAGTTCAAACTGTGGCACGTGAGTAAGGACCCAAAAGGATGGACTCAGGGACCTGTCAAGGGCTAGGGGTTTGCATGGGATGGAGTGGCATTTCTCCTCAGTGGTGGTGGCATAATTTCCTTTCCCTGCCATTAGCAGGGTTCAAAGACCCAATCCCCTGTGGAGCAGTCTGTCACTGCCAATGTGTATCAGCCCTGCTGTCCACCTTTGCTCTCTCCTTTCCATGTCCCTGCACTGGGACACAGCCTGCAGCTTCAAGGGCACTGAAGTTCCCTGGTGGTCAAAGGCAGGTCTCCTCCTTGCCACCTCCACGTGCCTCACCATGGCAGGGGACCATGGGGGAGAACAGGGGAGCAGGAGCCACCAGGCAGTGCAGCAGACCTGGCATTGGCTGTTCCCTGCAGCTGAGCTGGGTGTCCCCAAGACCCAGGGTGCTCCCAGGGCTGTGGGGTGCATGCATGCCCCTATCCCAGTGGGCTGCACGCTGATCACCAACATCCCCCCTGGCAGGAGGGTCTCCGGGCAGAGCGGCATGTGTCCCACCTGCACTACACAGCGTGGCCTGACCACGGGATCCCGGAGTCCACGACTTCCATTATGACCTTCAGAGAACTGGTCCGGGAGCACATCCAGAGCACCAAGGATGCGGGGCCGACCCTCGTGCACTGCAGGCGAGGCTCTGCTTCGGGGGACGGCAGGAGGGGACGATGGGCGAGGGCATGGGGGACAAGGGTCCTACTTGTGCACAAACTGGGAGGGAAGGCAATGCCCAGGAGACACAGCTGGTCTGTAGAGAGTCTCCTGCTTGGGCGTTGGGGGTTACAGGTCTGCTTGCAGCCTGCCCCCCGATCCCAGGGGACGGGGCAGCTGGAGATGGTCAGCACCAACCCTGGGTAGTCTGAATGGCTCCTCAACCCCATGCTGTGCTGGGACCAGTGCCCCAGGGTGCAGCATCTGGGAGCCATGTCTAGCAGTGGGAGGGGAGCCCGTCGGCTGTGGGGTCAGGCGATGTTTAACCCTTGCTGTCTGTGGTCTCAGTGCCGGGGTGGGCCGCAGTGGCACCTTCATTGCCCTGGACCGGCTGCTGCAGCAGATGAAGCAGGAGAAGGTGGTGGACACATTTGGTGTTGTTTATGCCTTGCGGATGAACCGTTACCTGATGATTCAGACGCTGGTAAAACCTCTGCTCTCTCTTCCCCCAGGCCCCTTGCTTCATGGCGTAAAAGCTAGCTGGGCTGGCAGACAGATGAGCTGGCCGGCCAGCCCCAGCACCCCCAGGCTGGTCCCCAACCTGACACTGTGTCACAGTGCCGCTCAAAGCAGCAGCTCAGCTGGAGTGGAAATTGCGCAGCTGTGAGGGTCTCCAGCAGCTTCATGCCCTGCCAGACCCACAGCAGCAACATGCAGAGTCTCAGAGACTTCCCAGGAGGCTCATAAACACCCCAGAGTACCTAGGAGCAGGATCAGGCCCTTTGTAGGCAATTCTTAACCCACATCATGTTGTTGACCTGTGATGGCCACAGCCCATCTAATATTTCCAGTACTCAGGGTTGGGACAAGGTGTCAGTACTACCCTTCAGGACAGACAGACCCAATGGAGGGATCCAGGGGCTCTGAGATTGAAGTAGCCAGGGCCTTTTGGGCATGAATGTAGGGCTTTGGGGACATGAATGTATAGGACACCCTCTGCCCACTAGGCAGTGCCATACCCACCTTTTCACGCCATCTGCATGGTGCGATGCTCTACATTGCTGTCTGCCTTTGCCTTCCAGTCCCAGTATATTTTCCTGCACAGCTGTATCCTGGAAAAGATCTTGGAGGAACCAATTCTGGGTTTATCAGGGACAGAGAGGTAAGGGCCTGCTGTGTTTTGCCTGCCACTCTACCCACCCTGATCCACAGCCCCTTCAGGTGGCAAGCTGGGATCCTGACCCCAGCTTGAGCCTTGGCTCCAGGACAGAAGGACAGGGAAGCCCAGCCAGCTGTCCCACCTGGTGTTTTGAGGGGGATCAGCCCAGGGCTGATTGTTCCCTGCAGCATGGGGAGCCCAGCCCAGAACTAGGTGTGAGTCAGTGGGCACACTGCGAGGGCTTGGGGGACCACATCTCCCTTTCCTCCAGTGCCAGTCTCCTGGGCTACGCCAACGCCCAAGAGCTGCAGAGCTGTCCTGGGGAAGGCATTTCGATCAGCCCCTGGCTTCCCAACCCACAGGGATGCCCTAGAGATGGGTTCAAACTGGAGGGGCTCATGGCAGCTGGGTGGCCTTGGGCTGCCCCTTCTAATGGAGGCCAAGAGGAGGGAGCAGGGTCAGGTTGGGCATGGCTTTGGGCATGGCTTTGCCCACCTATCTCGTTGTCTCTGGAGGTGAAATATCTCTCTTCATAGTCAAATTCTCTCCTCCCTCATTCAGAACAGGATGCCCTTGTGCTTGCTGAGTCTTGGGAGTGGTCCCTGGGCTGTGCCACATCTGAGACCTGCCTTTGTCTAGGGGAGAGCAGGTTGGCATGGGTCAGAGCTGGGCTGGGGACCTGTGAGGGCCCCAGCATTTGAGTGGTGAAGGTGCCTGTCCGCCTGCTGCAGACACACCCTGGATGCTACTGAGGTTGCTCAACCTCACCCTTACTCCCAGTTTCTCTCCCCAGGTCCTGCCCCATCCCACTGAAAAGCTTTGCTCAGCACTACACCCAGAAGGCCGCCAAGTCCCATGCGGGCTTCCTGAGGGAGTACGAGGTGAGAGCTGTCCTGGGCAGGGTGCAGGGACCACTGCCATGGCCATATGCACTGAAGGGACCTGGGGAGCAACAGCACCTGATCACGCTGGGGGACACCCAAGAAGTACCTCCTGAGTGGGCCCCATGCCCCAGTTTCCACGTGCTTGGCTGTCCTGGCAGTGTCCCCTCTCCATCGCATTGTGTCTTCAGGCATATTGCTCCCTCATGCATCTGCACTGATCAGGGTCTGTCCATGACCCCCTCCTTCCCAGACCCCATGCAGGGTAGGGACCTACCTGAACACCATTCTCCTACACAGAGATGCAGCCATCTCCTGACAGCACAGATCAGACCTGGCAGCCCACCCCAGAGGCGGTCACATAGCCCCCCTGCTAAGGCTTCTGCATGTGCAGCTATAACCACCCCTCTGCCGAGGCCAGGCATCCTTAGGAGTCCCCAGTTCTTCCTGCTCCTCCTGACCCTTCCTCCACTCTCTTTTACTCTGGCAGATGCTCCTAGAGGTTGTCAAGGAAGAAGCCAGCTCTGCAACACCATCTTCAGGCAACCAGCAGACACGGCCCTCTTCCAGCATCCTTCCATGTAAGTGCTGTGACACCTTGTATCCTCTTCCTTCCTGTACCTGCGTGGACCCAGGCTGGACGAGGGCCGGTGCTCCACAGTACAAGAAAATATTTTGACACACTGCAGTGAGTCCACCAGAAGGCTACCAAGGTGTTTTGGGTGTGGAGCACATGATGTGTGGGACTGAGATAGGTGGGCTTGTTCAATCTGGAGGAAAGAAGACAAAGGGGAGATCTTATTGCTACCTTCAACTACCTGCCGAGAGAGCACAGAGAAAATGTAGAGTCCTCGCAAAGGTGCACCATGGAAGGACAAGAGGCAAAGGGGATGATTTGGAAGAGTAATCCAACTCAGTATAAGGAAAAAAGAATTCCCATGAAGGTGGCCAAACACTGCAACAAGGGCCCAGAGCATCTGCAGGCTCTCCATCCTTGGGGATACGCAGATCTCCATTGACCAAGACACTGAGCAACCTGCACTACATGTATCTGCTTTGAGCAGGTCATTGGGATAGAGACCTGCAAAGGTTCCTTCCCACCCACAGAAAAGGATTCCCCTCCAGCTTCTCCAGAACAAGCCCCAGGGCTGTCTTTTGGGGACCAATGTCCATGAGCTGAACAAGAGGCCTGCAGAGGGGAGGACCTTTGCAGAAAAATGGTGAATGGGGCATTGGATTTGTGCGGCTGTGTGGAGTCTGGCAGTTGGTCTGCAGGAGCTGTGTGAGTGCAAGGCTGCCCTGCCTCCCTCTACCTCCCACATATTTTGCAGATGATCGCTCCAGAGTGAAGTTTTCCCTGCTGGAACAGGGCCCTTTCTCAGGTCTCCTGCAGGTGTGGCGTGTCCCGGTGAGTCGTACCCCCAACAGCAATGCCGACCCCCATGCCTGGGTCCTGCCACGGCTGTTTTGCATCCTCACACACTCCCTGCTGCCTGGTTCCTGCATGGCTCCACCGGTCACTGCTGCTATGACCCTGTGTGGACAAGAGGGGACTGTGGGGACTTAGGATGTGTCTTGCCTCACTCCTGGGGCCCTGGGCTGTCCCTACTTCCCTCCCTCGGTGCTTTCTCCTCTCTCTTTGCCTCCTGACCTGCTGATCTTCCCTCCTTTTCCTGGCCTCTCTTGCAGCCACCTGGGCTGATGGGGTGCCTGTGCCACCCTCTCCAGCAGGAGAGTGACATTCTCGTTCCCCACCCAGGGCTGCAGCTCCAGCAGGGAGTATCTGGCTGTCCAGGGCCCTGACAAGTTGACCATGGAGGACTTCTGGACCCTGGTGTGGGAACAGGACGTTCACACCATCCTAACACTTCTCCCATGGCAGGAGAAGGGGGAGGTAAGGTGCCGTGCCTGCCTGCGCCATGGCAGAGCAGGGATCTGTTTAATGGAGCTGGAAGCTGCCATAGCTCTGAAACTTGAACTCTTGTCACTGCCTCCTGAAGCCTGGGTGCAGATCCAGCTTAGCTAAAGCTGAACTTACCCTGTGTCAAAGTGGTCCCACTGCTTGTCATGGGAGACAGGTTCTGTCTGCCACCATGCGGTCCATGGCTGTGGACTCAGCTGGTACACTTCAAGCTGCATCTCCGTGGCACAGCAGCTCTGGCCTCTGTCTATCCGAGGCGGAGAACATTTGCTGAGCAAATTCCCACTGTCTAGCAAGTTCTGTGTTAACAGGGAAGCTGGATGCAATCTGCTGTTGTTTCCAAAAACTCCCCCAGGGTTTAGCTAGGGGATGAACTGACATAGAGTGATATTGTGGGTGCTCTTGGTCCAACCCCATCACAGACCCCTCTGAAGGTGACCGATCTGAAATATGGCAACCGTCAACATGAAGCCAAACTTGCTGTTGTGCACAGGTCCCACGTGAGGCATGCTGGCCCCTGGAAGGAGACTGTCTCTGCACAAAGATGCTGACCATCCAGTGTGGCACAGAGAAGCTTGTCTCCGGATGGAGGTGTATCCAGCTCAAAATGAAACACGTATGTGTTGATGGGGCTGGCCTGGCTCCCACTGTCTGGGATGTTCTTCACAGCTAGCGAACAGGTCTGTAGGGGCAAAGGCTGAAAGGTCCATGGAGACTTGTCTGAGCTGCAGAGTGCCAGCAGTCCACAAATGCAGGTGGGAATCTAGATTGCAACATCCAGAAGAACATCTGCTGAGTGGACATAGGAGATGCATGGGAGAGGATTGGAGGCTTCCCCCACCCCTTGCTGATAGGTTTTTCTGACCCTCTTTGAAAAGGTCCACACAGTTCTCAGTCCCCCTCTCAAGGGGCAGGTCAGGGTGCCGTGGGGAAGGAGAGCAGGTTGCCAGAGGCACCATACCCACTGCACGGGTGATGGGCAATGCCCCAGCAGATGCTGCCTGGACAGCTTTACAGAAGCTAGCAGTTAGCTCAGGAAAGCATCTGACAGCCTAAGGATTGGAGAGCTGGGACCTCTCTGCATCCAAATTCACCCATCCGTCCCCAACAGCCATGTCAACTCTTTCTGTCTCACCAGGAGAAGAAGGCAAAGGAGAGGCAGGTACAACGGTTCCTATACATGCTCTGGAGCAGCAAGAAACAGCCAGATGTCGAGAGCCTGCTGGAGCTCCTCACTGCTGTCAGACGGTGCATGCCCCATCGAAAGAGAGCTGGTCCTCTCCTGCTGCACTGCAGGTACCTCACGTTACTGCTCCACCCATGGGCAGCACAGCACCTTGGCATGGCCACCAGCAAGCCTGCGCCCTCCGCCAAGGATCCCAAGGTTTTGGGGCATGTTGAGAGTAGGTCCATGGGAGCCAGGGAAGCTCTGAGTTTGGGAGGTCAGATGAAGCAGTGCTCTGCCAGGGCAAACAGATGGATGGAGCAGGCATGCCTGGGCTGAGGTGCCTGGTCCATCCCTGGGCCGACTGCTAGCATCCTGGGAGCAGCCCTGACATCCTCATCTGCTTGCAGCTGGGGAGAGCTCAGAGTCCCACAGGAGCCAACACAGCCAACACATTGGCAGAGCTGGCTTGGGTGAGAGATGCACAGCTCGGCGGGGCAGGGTAGGTTGGGTCTCCAGGCTCCTTCAATGGGCTCTTTGGGGTCCCATTCCCCTGGTCAGCACAGGCCTCCCTGCCACCTTGACCAGTGCTCACACTCCCCTATCCCCACTATATTCAGTTGCTGCATGTTTTCTCATGGGGCTTCTGACTTCTTGGGCTGGTGCCCACTTCCAAAGAGGTTCAGCTCAACCTGGCCTGGCATCAATGACCCTCCCTTGTCCCTTGCAGCAGTGGCGTGAGCCAAATGGGGACACTGATCTCCTTGGATTGCCTGTTGCACCAGATGAAAGCCGAGAGAATTGTGGATGTCTATGGGGTGACGCTCCAGCTGATGAGAAGCTGCTGTCTCATGACCCCGACGCTGGTAGGTGGGAAGAACCGTGGGCCAGGCAGAACAGGACGTTCATGCTGAGCTGCCTGGAGCTGGCAGCATGCTGCCCACTCCCCTGGTGCTACCTGCCACCTGGGAGCCTGTCCAGCCTATGCTGCCCACTCCTCTCGTGCTTCCTCTGCCAGCCCCTGAGGGCTAAGGGCACGGTCTTTTCCCAGGGAAGGGCTTTCCATCTCCTCAGTTCTAGAGTTAAAATAGGTTAAATTGCATGTGAGCTCACGATAAATGCAAGGCACTCTTGCCATTCTGCCTTGGAAAGCATGAAGCACTGGTTTCGTCCTACATGACAAACCTGCCTGCTCACCCCTGGCCTCTGGACGCGGCTGTCAGCCTGAGTACCAAGAATCTGCTGGGTTTCCCATTGTCCGGTGCCTTTTCCCTGCTACATCCTCCACACCCAGAGCCTGCTCCCAGCCCTTGCCTGCTGCCAAAGCTGGGGCTGCGTCAGTGGGACATCCTGCCACATTTGCAGCTGCCCTGCAGCCACATGGGCTGTGGCACTGTCTGATGGTGCCGCAGCCATGCCCTGCCATGCTGTGCCAGCCCAGCCCAGCCTCACAGGCCTCCAGCGTGCTGCTCCTGATGGGTGCTGGCGGCACAGATGCTCTCTGGACAGCGCTTTCATTTGCTGCAAATGCTGAACCAGCTGATGCAGCATCCCTGGAAACCCTCCCCACAGGGGACAGCAGAATTGGGGCAGATCTCTCCGGGGCTTCCCAGCTGCAGAGCCGCCAGCAAGCAGCTAATCGCATTCTTAATTAATGTGAACCATGCACATGGTGGGAGCCAGAGGAGGGCAAGGCATCCGCTGCCCCTGCTTCAGAGCTTCTTTGTATTTCAGCAGCGGTCTTGCCGAGCAGAGACACAATGTGCCCATAAAGGCACAGCAAGTGCCGATCAAAAGCCGCTGCCCCACTGAGGGGGGGCAGCAGAGGCAGCTGCCTCCCCACTTTGCCGCGAACAGTGGTCGCTCTGATCCCAGCATGGCCAGTGAAGGACATGCAGGGCTGCCCTCCAGGCCCACACCACTGCCATGTGGCTGCCAGCCTCCTCCATCACTGTGGGAGCTTGCCAGGACCCCTTTATCTCTGGCAGGGGCACGCTGCTCTCATGCTGGGAGCATCAGCTGATTTTTTGGGGGGTTTGGTAGCCAAACAAAGGGGAAGATGAACCTTTGAGGGATTGTCCATGGATAACTGTATTTAAGCACCCCCAGCTCCACGGCGGCATGTGTCTCTGGGGATGTGCTCTTGCATTTGGCCAGGCATTGAGTGTGCCTGGTCTGAAGTCAATCCTGGGCTGTCACTCCAGATTTCACAATCAGGCTGGGCTCATTGAAAACACGTTCTGGTGACCTGGAACCGCAGCCATTGTGTGATCTGTGGCTTTCCCAGCCCTTCAGTGGGGCTAAACCCACCGCCGGCAGGGGAGGAGGCTCCTCGTGACTTGCAGCTTAGCCAGCGCATTAGTGAGCTGTTCGGGGGCCCCTCTGTTGAGTCCCTAATCCCACCTTCCTGGCTACCATGTGATTTCGACCCACATCATTTGCAGGCTGGCCCTGCCCTCCAGCTTTGTGCATTGAGTACAACCTCATTTACCTTTCCCACATGCCTTCCCCAGAGCCCTGCCGTTTTGTAGCCCAGCATCATTTTGGAGCGGCCTGGCATTTGAGCAGAACCTCATATCAAATCCACAGTGTACTTGAGACCTCTGGAGCCACACTTGGTACTGATGGAACATTTTGGTGATCTTAAAAATAGAGAAACGATGCAACTGGACTAAAACCACCCAGATCTTTTTGTCTGCCTCTGAGAGCTTACAGAGATCTACCCCGATCCACTGTCAGCACTTGACTCAGGTACACTGAGACTACCACCAAGGGAAACTCCTGCTCCAGAGGTCTTCCCTCCTGGCCTCAGGTCACTGCCAGACCCTGTGCACTCCAGCAGGGCAGAGCTCTCCCCGCTTGCTGCCCTGCAGCATCCCTGGAGTTGCTCTTCAGTCTTGTTTTGGATGCAACACCATGGCACGTCCAAAAGCCACTGGGGCACTTTGAGGAAGTCAGATGACATTGTTCCTCCCCATCTGAGATGGGGATGTTGCTCTCATCCCCATCACAGGGATGATGAAGCAGGAGGAAACAAACATGGTGTAACTGCAGCTCCAGGCCTGATTCTTCCTTTCTGGGCAACTCTGGAGACACAGGACAAACATGGACCACTTGGGACAGCAAATCCTGCTCTGCCATCAGACACTGCTAGTTAATTAGGACCTTTTAAGGCAAATTGCAGAGTTAGTTCTGCAACCAGGAGGCTTCTGTCAGAAACCTGACTCCCCTTTCTCTCTTACAGGACCAGTACCTGTTCCTGTACACCTGCATGCGGGACATCATCGCTCAGCAACAACCCTAACACTGCTAGGCATTTCCTGGCACCGTCCTGGCCTCCACCTCTGCGGGGTCCTGTCTGGAGCCAGGAGCTGGGGTGAGAGCACCATGGGGCTCCTGGCACAGAGCGAGCCCTGCAGCGAGAGGGGACCTACCCCAGCACTGTCACCAATGCATCCCACATGGTGTTAGCAGCGAAATGGGGTCCCCTGAACAGATGGACAGTGCTGTCCTGCCACGCACTGCTGCAGCCCCCAGCAGTCTCACACTGGTGAGAGGCTGGGCAGGATGCTCCCCTGCTTTGGCCATCTCCTGGGATTCGTGGTGTCTGGAAGGTTTGTTAACCCCACTGCAGTACGCAGCGCTGGCTGCGGGGGCTCTGTGGTGCCCTTGCCCCTCAGCACAGAAGGGGCAGCCCGTGGCTTGCTCCTGGACAGCCCTGGTGCCCGCAGGCTGCCAAGGTCTCACATGAGCACTGGGCACCACAGCCTCCATGCGCCCATGGGCACTGGGTGTGTTGAGGTCTCAGACACCGCTGTGGGCAGAGCATGGTGGGAGCTGGCTTGTCTCGGCTGGTGGATCGGTCTTAGGTACAAACAATAAACAGCCCTAGGAAGGAGTGTGCTTGTAAGGGTGGGTTGGCTTTTGTGGGGTCTCAGCGATGCCAAGGCCTTCCCCTGCTGCAGCACAGCAGCCGTTCCCAAAAGGGCAGCTGTGTCCCTATCCATGGGCAGCGGATGGGGTGCCCTTGGGCACTCCAGATACTGCAGCCCTTGGCACGCAGCAGCTTCTGCTCGCTCTCATCTGCTCCTGTTACTGAGGCAACACTTCTGCAGTGAGCCTCCAACCCACCCTCAGCTTTACAAGGAAGAGACACATTTTCTGAAGCCTGGGCTTGAAGTTATGAACCTGCTGGCTCCCAAGAGCCAAGGTCTAAGGCAAAACCACCTGGTCCAGCTGACATGCTGGCAAGCAGCTGGCAGCCCTGTGGCTCACTGCAGAGCACTGGCTGCTGCTCTGGGAATTGGGTTGTCCATGCAGCCACATGTAGAGACACTGCTGCCTCTGCAAGCAGGGATGGCCATGCACAAGCTGAAATTGCAAGTAGCGACTTGGTTCATTGAGCTCCAAGTGCAGGTCAGAAGGAAGAGTTAAAAAAAGCAGGTGATTTCATGAGCGTATTCCTGGGGTAGAAAAAATTGTATCTGGGAACCCATTTACTCTCCTTCACCCCTTCAGGCAACATGGGGTTATGGTACAGTCTCAAAGCAGCACTCCTGTCCCGGTCTGGGCCCACACCCCTACCCACAATACCATGCCCTGCAGGAGCTGCCTTGGAGTGGGGTGAGGAGACAGAACAGCTACGATGAGGACACTCCAAGACCTACTGCAAGGAGTAGACAGCCCCAGGTGGAGGACTGAGTTGGCCACTCATCCTACTGCCCCTGTGTTTCTACAAACAGCTTCTCCCTCTTCCAAAACAAGGATCCTGTTGTCTGCACCCCAGAGTGGGACACCAAGGGCACCGAAGCATGAGCAACCATCAGCCAACCCAGCACTGGGATGATGCCTCCGTTGCAACTGGGCTTGATGCCCAGCACCTTTTCCCCCTCTCCCCAGACAAGGTTTTTCTCCTTGGCAGTTGCTGTGCCCACCAATTCCCATCCCCACCACCCACCAGTGCAGTGCAGCTGCCAGCCATGTGTTCAGGCAGGGGTGGGAACCTGCCTGTTGTCCTTTGCACCCACTGCCCACGTGTAGACACAGACGGTGCACAGCTAGGTAGGAGCAGTCTCTCCATGCACACAATAAGTCTTCCATTCTGCAGGTAGGGCTTCTCTGCCACTTAGTCCCCTCTGCCATCCCTGCATTCCCTGCTCTGCTCCCAGCTCCAAGCTGAAGCACTCATCAGCTAAAGGAAACCAAGATGGTGCAGAGCCTTAGCCCCATACAGGACTCATTTTTCCCCCACCGTTTCCCCCCACCCTGGGCACTCTGTGTGTGCAATGCTGTCTTCACCACAGGTCAGAGCATCCTGAGTTGCCCCTGACCACCCTCACCCCTCCTGACCTGGATTGTCATGGATCCAGTTGCTGTTTGAAAATGTTTCCATGTGACTACATCTTTGTCCCAGGGTCACCCACCAGCATGATGTGACAGGCCACTCACTGCTCAGCCTGCACAAGCGACCATTGCAGTGACTTGTAGCATTTCTGCTTCTGGTTGGATGCCAACATGCCAAGAGCTTTCTAGGAGGATGTATGAATACTTTCAACATGAAAAAGGCCTGCAAAACTCAGTGGATGTTCTTATGCGCACAAAAGGATTTATGATATTGTCTTGGGAGGAGTCTGGCACTTGCCCATATGCTCACAGGAAGCCTGCTGGCTTTATGACTTTCATGTAACCAATAACTCCTAAACTATGCTTGTGCTGCAGGATAAGTGTCACAGCAAGTAAATGTGCTCCCAGTGACCCCCTAGCCCAGTAGGCAGGATTGGTGGGGTCAAGCTGTTTGCTGCTCATGAGGTGCGTGCAGTTTGTAGCAGTAGCCACCTGCCATGTTCTTCTGGGGCACCATGGGAGAACACACCGGTGCATGCTGGAGGCCTGCCATAAAGCAAGGAAGCTGCAAAATCAAATCTGGTCCAAAGAATGATGTGCCCATTGTCTGTCCAGAGTTTTGATTTGATAGGCTAGTGAAGTTTAGACCTGCCCGGCAGCACAAAATCTCACTAGTGTTGGGGGTTTTATCCCAAGAACACCCAAGAAGGAGCAGTCTCAAAGACCATGTGGCCTGCTGCCACACGCACATAGACCCATTCTTAGACCTCCATCAGAAACAACCCTCATGTCCAGCTTTCACCCTCCAGCTCCAGCCAGCCTTAAAAATAGTTCCTGGGCTACAAGACTAGCCTTTCTGCCAGGACCTGCAAGTCCACTCTAACAACCCCCTACACGGTCAGTGAAAGTGCTGATACTTCCACACCGGAGGCCCAATCCCACACACTTGTCAGTCCTTTCCTCACTGCCTTAGCCCCAGCACAGCTGACCTGCAAAGCACATGAAGGCAGAGGTCCCTGCGCAGGAATGAGAGAGGGAGCTGCTGATGTAGGAAAAGGACTGGTGCTCATTCTCTCAAAGAGGGGAGAGATGAGCCAGACCTGGATCCAATTCCAGCATCTCCCTGCTGGTGCTGTTGGACACAGCCTGTGGCTCTCATTTGCTACGCACAGCCCAGAAACCCCAGATGCTGTCTCAAAGGCATGTGTAGATGCAAGCTTTAGCCTGGTGCCCAACAGGCTCTTGTTCAAAGTGTGCAGTCTCCACTGAACACCGACAAGCGTTTGTATCTGTATGTCCCAGCATGGTTTATGATGTGTAAAACACCTAATGCTCTTAGTCTCAGAGGATTTCAACAACATCTGTGGAGTGCCCTGACCTGCGAAGTGGAGCCAATCACAGTGACAGTGAAGATGTGAAGGAGGACCCAATGCCACGAGATAGCAGGAACCTTGTGAGGGGCACAGAAGCAAGATTACCACGAGTTTTGCTCTCCAGAGCCTGGCAGCCAGTGTGTGGGGTTTGTACTGCTGCTTTCCTACCCTGGTGGGTGGTCATTGCCCCTTTGGCTGTGCATCACCTCACGGTAGCTTGGGGTTCCGCAGAGACAAGCCCTCCCTTGCTCTGCCAAGCGCAGCCACCAGGGTCTCCCAACAGCCTGGCCACGACTGCATCCTCAGAAAGGGGCAGCTGCCAAGGATAATGAGGAGCAAGAACTCCTCATCCTCTCTTTTCTATTTTTCTGCAATCAGAGCTACCCTGCGGCTTTCAGAGTCATTATGCCTGGGGCTTTGCTCAAAACCATATTCCCCATGGAGAGGATCTGGGTCTGGCTCTACAACTTGTGGCACAGGAGAGAGGCCTCAAAATGGGACAGCGTTCCCAGGGACTGCTTGTGGGCTCTTGCCTTTCGTGGAGAAGAGCAGGACAACATCCACATAAGACAACTTGGCCACGCCCCAGTTCACCCGTAGCTGATGGCAGTGACCAAGCAAGGTGGGGGGTGAGTTCTGCTGGCACCTGCCCCACACCACCTCTCATCCCAATGGGGCTCATTTAGCACATCACGGTCCATCTGCCTTGCCAGATGGGCTGCTGCACCAGGATCTTTCTACAGCCCCTTGGGAAAGTGCTCATGAGTCTCCTGTGTGTCATAGAATCATAGAATCATTAA